AGATCAGAGGGAAGCAGGGCCAGGGCCAGAGGATGTCATCAAGTGGCTTTTGTTTGCCAGCATCTGGGGGCGTTGATGAATTAGGGGTGCGGGGTTTTTGTTTTTTCCCTGCCAGTCTGACCCCCATTATGTTTGCAGATGTTAATTACACAGTCCTGCCTTCTCTGACGAGCAGCAATGGAGTTATCTGCTGCACGAGTGAGCCAGGAGCTCCACATCACACTGATACGGATAGAGCAGTTATCTTTAAAGGTGGAGATGAGTCCTGTAGCCGTTTCCCACATAGGATCGTAGGAGAACTGCAATGTGCTTGTATGTATGTAGCTATATCACATATAGCCCCATGTCTGAGCCTGAAACCCTCCCACCGTGATCCTACTGGGGTAGGAAACTGACTCTGATCCAGGTCAGTTTTCAACATATTTTTGAAAACATGACATAAATGTTCAGATCATCTAAAAGTCGAAGGATTTCATTTTTTGGTTCTCATGAGACCACTGATTCTCTTCTACGACTTCACGTATCATTGTGTTTTCAGCATTCTACAGCTTGCAGGCTGAGCGGCTGTTGCTCTGCTCTGTACGTTCATCGCTCTCCTGCCTAATATCACTGGTCAGTTCTTTTCCTGGAGGAACAGTGAACTTTCAGCAGAAAAAAAGCATGTCTCCAAGCTTGCCTTGGATGGGGAAGCAGACTCGTGGTTTTGTGCTTTTCTCTACGGGGTGTCGATGCAAAGCACTCGGTTGAGGTGGCACGAGCACACAAGCAGGGCGCTTCAGCACAAACGAACACAGGACGTGACAGCTGGAAAAACCACCCCTGCAGCCAGTGCAACCCGACCAAGCCGTCCAATCAGCAAGCGGGGCCTGAGCAAACTGATCAATCAGCCAGTGGGGCCTGGATGAATTGACTAATCAGCAAGTGGGGCCTGAGCAAACTGACCAATCAGCCAGTGGGGCCTGGATGAATTGACTAATCAGCAAGTGGGGCCTGAGCAAACTGACCAATTAGCCAGAGGGGGCTGAACAAACTGATCAATAAAAGCGGATTGGATCAACACTCCATATTAGGCCATTCATAACAAGACTCCTGACAATAACATGGAGCTCTCTGGGGTTTGCAGGTGTTTCGATAGAAAAACAAAGAAAACTCAGCATCAAAATGCTTATAACCACAGGACTCATGTTGATTTGAAATGCTTATGTATGTTTCAGGTAGATTTTGCTCATCTCTCATTGTAATAATGTGGCTTTTGTTAATTTTTCCCCTCTGCAAATGCAAACAAAACAGAAGAATCCAGAAAAACCCAACAAAAAGGAAAAAACAAAAGTGAAGTGTCACGGTGCACTACAGCAATATGAGCAGTCCACAGCAAAGCATGGCTCAACCGTTATGCAACAGGGGCAGGAGAACTTTCCTTTTGAAAATGAGTCATATTTAATTTCATTGTTAAGGGCCACTGAGCATCACATCAAGTACTACTCTGTGTACTCTGTGTACTGTGTGTGTGTGTGTGTGTGTGTGTGAGGGTGTGTATGTTCATCTGTGTGTTTGTGTGTGTGCCAGTGTGTATGCGCTTTGGCATGTGTGTATATGTATATGTGCGTGCGTGTGTGTGTGTGTGTGTGTTTGTGTGCACGCGTGCGCATGCATGACTCCTTAGCAGCATTTGTTACTGTGCCTGCATGCGTGTGTGTGTGTGTGTGTGTGTGTGCATGTGCATGCCTCAATGCATGTATGTTTGTATGTGTGTGCATGTGTGTGTATGTGTGTGTGTGTGAGACTATGTGTGTGTTTGTGAGTGGGTGGCTTGGCAGGGTCATTACAAGCTGTGTTCTGTGCTCTACATGTACTGCAGAACATTTGAGCGGGGGGTGGCGGGGTCGGGGGTTGTTCCATGATTTCCATCGATTTGGCTGCAGTCTCCTCGCTCTCCACAGCTCTGTAATACTCAGATACAATAAATATCTGTCAGTTCATGGGCAAACATGGAAATTATTGCAGCCATTTAAATTATAAAGGAAAATAAATGTTACATGTTCAAAAGAAGCGATAAAACGGGATCTCTTGTGAAATTTCAAATGTCAAAGTGGAGATTTAATTAAGAATTCATACATCAAAGCAAGCTATAAATATAAATCCAATCACGATGAAAAATGGCTTCAAACAGACCACATCAAATGCAATTAAATCCAATAACATCTTATGCAAATCAATTCAGTAAATTAAACAAAATAACATGGAGCATTTTTTTTTTGATAATCAGCATCTTTTTGTTTCGGTTGACATTTCGCTTAGCTCCATTTTTTAATTTGTGATATAAATATTTCGTGGCTGCTCAGGCTATGCCCTGTTTATTTATTTAAAGCAGGAATTTTGATTGTAAAGCACATCTTCTAAAAGGGCTATTTACTTCAGTGTGCGTGATATTCTCACAATATCTCTGTGCTGGAAACTCTTACTCATTCCTCCAAAGGAATCTGAATATTGAAATTCTCATGCCAGTTGTTTTATACAGTATGTGATCCCACATGTTTTGTTCAGACATTATGGTGTTGCTGTTTTGGTTGTCAGAAATGCAGAGAGAGCTGCTGTAGCTTCATTTTCAATTCACCATTTTGAACCAGAAAACTGCTAATGTGATACTGGTGCATTACATCCACAGTCGACCGCATCTTAACCTAACTGTTTTGCTGTACAGCCTATGACACAGACAGTGCATGCAAAATTGAATAGATGAAGAGTTTCAGTAGTACAACTCTTGCTGTTGAATCATCTTTAGGTCCCCTACATTTTAATATTAAGGACAAAGCTATAGGCTAAATGCCCTAATCCACCCCAAAGAATAGCAACATGGATTCAGTGGTCTTTATTGTTACACATAATACCATAAGTAGTGTACCTCTTCTGAAAAAGTGAAAAAAAACCCATTCATAATAACTCTGCACATCAGCTTAAAGCTGTTATAACATTCTTTCATTGCCTGCACACCATTTTTCATTCATTTCCATGACCACAAAACCAAGATGATCATATGAATAGAAATGTATGTAACACTTGCTCTAATACATTATTCAAACTTAAGAACAAAGGAAAAAAAATAGCAGTTACATTGAATGCCCCCCTCACGCCCCCACACAGTTTTAAATGTCTGAACAAAACATGAGATTCCATCTCCCAATAAATACAGACTTAGGTGGTGCCCTAAATTCAGACCCCATGGGATGAAAAATTACAGTCAGGCAGGAATAAACCGAGGCTCAGCTGAATGTCATTCCAGCTCGGAGCAGTTATTTAAAAAATAAAGAAATAAATAAATATGAGAAATGATTCTTCACAGCGCCTTGGCTCCTATCTGCTGGTACAGCTGGGGGTGTCATGCTTCGGTGGGTCTCTTACGAGAGCAGCCCGTGACGTAGGCGCCACCAGGCAGGAATTCAGCTCACGATCCTGGCCTCAATATGCTCACCGTGCCTGTGCCGCAGCTTAGCCCGGCGCCCGCTATCTGTTCTCCAAAGTAACAGCGGGGGAAAGGGGTCCTGTTTATTTTCCCCGCAAGGGGAGGGTCTTCCTCATGGTTGTTGTTGGCGGCAGTGTGGCATAGTGGCAAGGAGCAGGGCTTGTAACCAAAAGGTTGCTGGTTGAGTTCCCCACCGGGGCACGGCTGCTGTACCCTTGGACAAGGTACTTAACCCACATTTGCCTCAGGAAATATCCAGCTGTATAAATGGATAACATAAAAGATTGCAACCTGTGGCTGCTCTTGATAACAGTGTCTGCTAAATGCCAATAAATAATCATGTAATGTAATGGCTGTCATAACTACTGTTGCTGTTGCTGCTGTTGCGGTTGTCAAAACTGTTGAGGCTGTTACTGTTGTTGATGTGTTGTTGCCGTCGTCAGTGTTGCTGTGGTTGTCTAACTGGTTTTGTCATTGCTGTTCATGTGGTTGTTGTAATTGTCACTGCCGTTGTCATGCTTGTTGCAGTCATAGTTATTAGTATTGTCATTTTTTATTGTCATCTGATGTCCTTGCTGCTGCCTCCATTTTGTTCTTGCTGTCACTGTTAAAGCTGATTCTTGGTGTTGACGCTGTCATTTTTGTTGTCTTTTTTAGCTGTTGTGATGGTTGTTGTCAGCATCATTATTCCAATGTTGTTCCCATCACAGGATCATCCTCAGAGTTAATTAACAGCTTATAGCCATTGCGCCATGCTGACCCTGTCAGTGTTAGGGCAACGTGATTCCGAGTGAAGCTGTAGCCTTTCCAAAGTACATAATATGTCAGTCAATCCCTCACTCTGTCGATCTGCCTTATTTGACCATTCGTCCTTCAGTGCGCCTCTGTCAAAGAGTGCTTAACAAAGTCAAAATGTGGTCAGTATGGATAATGTGGGTTCGTGTGAAATGGCCCCGGGCTCTCTCTGTACGGCACAGTTACACATGCATGTGCAAATGACATTACTTCCTGAGTTACCCGTGCCATCGATTTGCTCTGGTCATGGGAGCCATGATATTGACATGTTTGTGCTTTGTAAAACATGGGCTTCTGTCTACTTTGCTGTCAGAGGTATTCTTGCTGTTCAGGTCAGTGAGGTCAACCTCTCGTAGGTCATTAACATATTGATGCAATGATTGTTTAAGAGTCTAGAACAGAGCATATCTCCAAGAGGTTATATATAGTCTTGGATTGGATCAGTGTATGAAGTGAGCAGTGTCTTATAACTAGGAATTCAACCTAAAGCCCACACTTGTCCTCATGTTGCATTACATTACATTATCATCATTTAGGAGACGCTTTTATCCAGAGCGACTTGCATAGGTTACAGTTTTACATGTAATCCATTTATTCAGCTGGATATTTACTGTGACAATTCTGGGTTAAGTACCTTGCCCAACAGTACAGCAGCAGTGCACCAGTGGGGAATCGAACCAGAAACCTTCCAGTTACGAGCCCCCTACTCCTTACGACTGCCCCACATTGCCACCCTACACAACTCTAACTCTACCAAGATTTGAACTTGGATTGTTGGATTCAAAGTCCTGATTGCCAACCATTACACCATAGTACCACTGCAACGTGATGTAATGTTAACCAAGTCCCTTCACAGCCAAGTACCCAACGTACCTACGGGAATCTAATAGCTCATTTTTCCTATTTATTTTTGTCATCCTCCCCTATTCCATTAATGCCACTGACAGACCTTTCATAGAGCACGAATGTGAACAGCCATTATGAAAAACGAAAACAAAGAAAGTCCAACGTGTGGGCTTCGGACGCCGGGCGCGAAAATGATTGCGGGCCTCACCCACCATGTGCACTTGAAACTCAATGGGATAATCGCCCTGTTTTAAAAAGCAGCCACAGATCTCTGAATCACACTGCCGAGCCCGGGCAAAGTTTCACACATGGCAGGAGAGAACGGCACTGACGTCTGGTAAGAATGCGGCTTTTCATTAACTGAACAGCTCGTTCAGAGAGCCGTACCTCTCTGATTATTATTTTTTCATGTTTTTGTTCTGAATAGTATTGATTTGAGAGCGTTGATTAAAGTAAGGCATATTAATGCCCACTCTGACTGTTGTTATTGCCTGTTTAATTCATGACTATTTACTGCAGAGCTGTAGGAATTCTAGTGCTAAGAATTTTGATCATGTATCTGAAGTAGGATGCTTGAGCAAAGAAAACAGTGATTCTGCAAATACTAACACAAATACTAAATGAACATCCCTGATTTTCTTTCATTTGATTACATTTTTATCTGCTCTCGTTGAACTCAACAAGCTATTTTTGCTCCTCTTGGGTTATACCTGAAACTGAAATAAGAAGCGTATTCATGCCTATGAAATAGTTTGGTTTACTTTATGACCATATATATTTTAAAAGTATATTTTTATGTAGTAAATAGTTATGATTAAGAAATTGGAATTGGATCACATAATGTCAGAGAAAAGTGTATTATAATCTACCTTAAAGCTCAAAAGAATTTCAGAGGAATGTCATTCTCATTTCATCTGAATGTCACTAGAGCTGCATCTGCCATCCATAATGCTGGAAACATTACCACGACATTGTTTTCATTGATAGTGTGATGCCTTCATATTCCACACAAAAGTCTTTCATTTTCTCATGCAGACCTGTCCAACTTTGTGTCACAGTAAGATGCTGTTTTCTCTCCTCTTTTGCTGGTTGTAATGGATTTCAGCAGGCCACAGGTGGGAAGATCTTAAGGCTTTTTGTTTCCTTCAGCAAAGCCAGCAGAGGCTTCATTTTTCAGAGAGAAAATTGAGACCATTATGTTTAAGAGCTCGACAAACTACTCTGTGCTTCTCCTATAATTTCATAAGCCAGCAGGCAGGCGGATCGCTAAGCTAAAGTACCTGCAATAAGTCTGAATAGACTATTCATGAAAGACAGAGATGCAGGACTTGAATTGTTACCGGATGACAGGTTATATCATTTCTTGACGGGAATTTAAGGATATGTGCTGGCCCATCCATTACCTCTTGAATGGTCATAGCTGTAGCCCCCCCCTGGCCCCCTCCCCCACGCGAACACACACACACACACACACACACACACACACACACACACACACACACACTGTCTCTGCATGCGTCCCCTTGACCCGGCTCTGGGATTGAGGCCATCGCTGCCCCTCAGCTGATTAGAGGGCTGTGATGGAGACTGGCCTCAGTGATGCCCTGGAGATGTTTTACCGCATACATGACCAAACCACGGCAGCTACAATGCAGTCATACTCTGCAGCAAGGAAACAAGCCAGCGAATGTTCACACGACAGCGTTGCTCATATTTACTGCCAGATGTTCGCGGGGAATATGATGTGATGTTATGTCAGTCACCACAGAGACAATTACTCTGATTGTATTGTTCACCTGCTCCATGGCTTCCTGTGTTTATACAAAACAGTAATGAATTACATGTGAACACAAAGAGAGCTTCCAGCCGGGAGCAAGTGATTGAAGGAGGGGAAAAAAGTCACTGTGATCAGGGAAGATTTTTATCTAAACCACTTCATCAGCTGTGAGCTCCTCAGCTGACAGGTTTCCATTATTGTGATTTTTTTCCATTTGAGATGTTTGTATACTTTCTCTGTAAGATGTCAGTCTATCCTTTGAGTTTTAAATGAATTCCTCAACAGAAATCAATGTCAGTGTTTTTTTTTGAAAACATCAGATGATTTGAACTGACAAAGAAAGCAGTAAGAATAATATCTGTATATATGTATAATAATATAAAAATAAATCCACATAGAGTGTAGTGTATTCAAAATGGTTCACTCTGTAGCAGCAAAGCATGTTAGATTAATGGCCAGTCTGTCTTAATTAGAGGCCATTAGCCCCGTTTTAACGTGTGTATCTAACCTGCATTCACAGGGTCTTGCCGTTTTACTCTCCCATTCGTCCTTGTCGAGGTGATGTGGATAGTAAGACAGTGTGCCCTTAATAACGGAAAGCAGAACAGAAAATCTGGGTTACCTGCCAGTATATTAATCTTATTTACAGCTTACTTAAAGGCCTTACACAATTAGACCACCCTGTTTTATTGACAGTAGGCTTTGTATTACCATTAACATGATAGGGTTGCATTGTCACCATTCAGCCTTTAACCAGCGATTTACCCTGGAACAGGTCTGCAGGCTTGCTGACCACTGCAAGAGTGGCAAAGTGGTTAAACTGCAGGGTTTGTCACGGGCAGGTTGCGGCCTTACATTTATATTAACATTTAGTCATTTAGCAGACACTCCTTTCCACATCAACTTCCAATTTGCAAATAGAATGTACATTCAACAAAACAGTGTGAAAAAACAAGGATATGTACATGACTTAACATTAAATTCTATGAAGAAGCCAGCAGAAAGTCCAGCACCATATGTCAATATTTTTTTAAAAGGTTTGATTCTCTGTTGTATCTTTGTGCAAGGTGCTTGCTTCACTAAATACACAGGGGTATCAATGGATAACATGTGAAAATGTGAGCTGTGTAGCTACACCCTAATAAGGGAATCTGCCTAGCAAATTATTTTTGTAATCACCAGTTGTCATAATGGTACAACTACTGTTAATAATAATTGTTATAATTGTCATTATACTGATAATACTAATAATAATCTGTTTTACTATTAGTGGTAACTCAAATGTACTGTGGGCCTGCCGAGCTGCAATGTAGCACAGATGGCTAACAGTCAGCATCTGCTTTGGTCAAGCTGTCCGTCGCTGTGTTGACGCAAACAGTCTCGCTACACATCAGAGTAATACAGAAGCTAATACAGAGGGATTGTATGTAATGTGGGACTCTTAGGGCAGCTGCTGTAAGACGCTATACACTATTTATGGCTGTGCCACTAATTATGTTGCATTGACACATAACTCATCCTGTGAAAGGGTAATAATTACCAGATGATATGTAACCTGGATCATTTTTCTGAATGGACTCCCGAGAGGGCTTGTGAAACCAATCATAAATCATGCTGCTCCCTGCAAAACAAACAGTTTTATCTTCATTTTTTTTTGTTCATTCATGTTAAAAATAGTGTCCATATGCATTGTAGATGATGCCCATGTTAGGTAAACTGCTACTCAGCAGCCTGCAGTATGAAAACGTATTTATCAAAAGACGAAAAAAAAAAAAAAAGATATATCCGTTGGCAAGAGCCGAGGTCTCTCCACACTCTGGTAGTGAGACGCCTGCCGCGCTACTTTCCCGCGCGGAGCTGGCAGAGCGTCCGCACGCCTGCTGGACCCACGCCTGACCAATCACAGGCTGACCGGGCGCTCTGATGTCACCTCCAGAGTGAGCGGTGGCATTTGTGAACCGCTGGAGCAGGAAATTGCCCCGTTTGTGGCGGTAACAGAAGCCTGGAGATCCACTTGAGGGAGCTCCACTTAAGATACAGCTTTGATTAAGTAGGCCCCCCTTCCAGAGGGAGGGGGCGTGGTGACGGGGGGACGGGGGACGGGGGGATCCGGGAGGGAGTGACACATCACATCGATTTGCGCAGAGTGTGTCCTCCATAGACAAAGACATTAATATCCAACACGCCTCACCCCACAAATGCCTCATGATCCCTTTAACTCAGCTGTTTGCCCACTCTGGGGCGTTCTGATGGATGGCTTATAAAGGCTGAAATATCAGGCCCACCGCTGCCACTTCCTGGTCGCTATTAAGATCTCTATTGGCTCACGGCGCACTGCTCAGACGCACAGTTAGAGCGAGAGAGGATTGAAACGTTGTGGGACGGTGCCGTCAGCACGGAGCCATGTTATTATATTTCCACCTGTCGGAAAAAATGAGCCCGGGAAGACGAGGAAGCCAACTTGCGCCACAGGATCTTGATAATAACGGGGTGGGGGGTTGGAGGTGGTGGTTGGAAACAGAGAAGGTGGCATTAATATTTCAGCTTTCTGGAGACCTTTAAGTACAATACCAACCAGCCACGTGCAACAGAGCAAGACTCATCCATACCAGGTCACCCGACACATCGAAGACACGAGAAACATGACACGGAAGGCACGTAGCACTGGCGGACATCGGAAATAAGACCAATTAAGGGTCAAATCAGCAACTGGCTGATATTAACATGAGCCAGCATTATCTTAGAAAAGCACAGGATGCCCAGATATGTGATCCTTCCTGCACGGTCTTCTGGATTAAATGAACTAGGATATCATGCAGGCCAGTGTGTTTATAAATATGGGGCAGAAATACTTAAGCTGGCATGAAACAGACCTGGTACAGAAAGGCAATACACAGCACATTACTAAATAAGTCCACAGTGTTTAATTAATTATGGAGATGACCAGAACGCAGTCATGGGTCAGTGATACTCTAGAGCCCTTTGGCTCCACTGGCCGGTCATTATGGACAGGGAAAGCTATGGAAATACAAACTCGAGAGTGGAATCCATTCTTCCCTTACCTGTGACATCAGAGCTGTGCTTACACAAGACACAGGGGTCAATTCAATCTCAGCACCGTTGCTAGCAGAGTCAAGATGACTAGTTATGACATAACTAAAAAAAAACTCTGTAAGGTTACGTTCAAATGTTGT